CCCGCCAACACTTATCATTTTTTGTTTTTTTAATCTTAGACATTCTGACCGGGGTTAGGTGGTATCTCAATGTTGTTTTGATCTGCATTTCCCTTACGATGACAGATGTGGAGTTGAATAAAACACTCTCTAAAGATGACATATGAATAGCCAAAAGGCATATGAAACTGCTTTATTTCTTTAGGGTGGCCTCTGACTCAGAGACTCCAGGTGCTGTCAGAAAGGAAGAACCTGATATTTGTGCCCTGTCATACTTAGGCTGGGTTGCTGTGTCAGAAGACCACCAACAGGGTGATGACATAAATTACAGAAGGTTATTTGTTTCTGGAGACATCCAGGGTAAGATTCCAGCATGCTGAGGTTCTGGTGAGAGCCCTTTTCATGTCTCAAGACAGCTGCCTTCTCACTGTGTCCTCACAGGCAGAGACAGAGAGAGCTCTGGTCCCTTCATCTGCTCAAAGGGGCTCAGATCTGCCCGAGGGCCACCCCCTCACGTATCCCTAGCTACCTCCCAGGGCCTCACCTCCAAATGCCATTACAGAGACTTTGGGCTTCAGCATGACCATGGTGGGAAACAGCCTCCAGTTTGTACCAGTTGACCCCACAGTGCAGGATGTAGAGGCCATATGGGACCAAGGGATAGGAAGGCTAGCCTCTGCCTCTTCCTGGGAACCTATCAGCAGCACTGAGCCCCAAGGAGTCACAGGATGATGCTGTTCTGAACAAGGCCCAGACACACAGTCATGGACCCAGTTCTCCCCACATGACTCATGCCACAATCCTATATCCTGAGAGGAAACATGTCACTCCATCTCCCAAAGATGGGCCCAGATGTGGATGAGGCACGTGACCTGCTGAGGTCACTCCATGGAGTAGTCTGGCCCTGGCCCTTGTCCTCACCCCCCACCTTTTTCCCCAAGTGCGTGAGTGTGGGTTGAGCTGGATCCAGGGCACAACTGGTGGATGCAGTGTGGACGCTGACCTGCCAAGACCTGCAGGGTGTGTGTTCCTGAGGGCTGAACCTGAGGCTGGTGGTCTGTTTCCCTCCCCTCACTGTCTGTGTCCAGCACTACCTCTAAGGTCTGCCTCTCTGTGCAGACCCACGTGGGAACATGCAGGGGTGGTGCCTGGATGAGCACAGCCAGGACTCACCTCTGCTTCTCTCATGGCCACAGGACACACAGGAAGAGGAAGATACCCACCAGGAGCAAGAGCAGGACAGGGGGCAGAGGGGTGGTGGTGGGCTGACCTGATGGGGAGCACAGGGCCCAGCAAGCCTCACTCCTCCCCTGCTCTTGGCAGGGAAAGCAGATGCAGGGCTGTGCACACCTGTAACTGCTCCTGGGCACCCCCATCCTCCCCCATGACCACAGAAATGGTCATGGGTCTCTTGATGCCACATGGCCTTCCTGGGGATGAATCAGAACTCAGATCCTGAGAAAAAGGGGGTGGCTGGGAGAGAATGAGTGGTGACTCTGTGCATGCATGGTCAGAGATTGTGAGGGGTGGGCTGGAGGAAGGGTGCAGAGGCTGCACACACCAGAGTGGGGCAGTTCTGCAGAAATCAGGTTAAGGTAGTTCTGGAAGCTCAGGGTGTGCCCCTCCCACTCTCCTCCTCCTCTGCCTGTTTCCTGTTGACACTCTCTCCTGCCCCCGTCAGGTGTCTCCCTCCAATGTCAACCTGGTTGCTCCCACCCAGGGTCCTCCATTTACCAGGTGCCACAACCCAGGCAACTCTTGCACTCTATGAGGTCTCAGCTCTGGGACCAGACAGTGTGACCCACGCTGCTCCAGGTGGGCTCATGATCCTGGTGACAGGAGGCCGTGGTGCATGAGGGAGGGACTGTCCTAGTGTGAGTGTAAGTCTGAACCTGCCTCTGTTCCACTCATGGTTAGGCCTTGGTGGGAAAGGGATAGTAGTGGTGAGTACACCTGACATGACCCGGAGACAGCAGGGTCAGTCCCTAGGACCACGACAGGGTGGGTCCCCTCGGTCAGTTGGACAGACTCCCTGCCCAGAAAGCAGGGAAAGGCCCTCACCTGCCCCTGCTATAATCGTATCCCAAATGCTCCCACTCAGCTGAGCCTTCTTGCCCTTCTCTCACCCAATGCCCTGTTTCCCCCTGATTAGGATCCAGAGGTGCTGCCACCACTGCTTAGTTTCACAACCCCACTGGGTCTTGATGATGCCCCCACTGAGCCCAGAACCATGACCCTGGAAGCCAGGCCCTCCCACTCCCCCAGGCCCCAGGGAAAGCCCAAGCTGCAGGGAGGGTCGTTCCAGCCTTTCCCTCTGGCCTCTTTCAGGGAAGCAGAGCAAAGCTCCCAAGGGAAAAGTGCCAACCCAGACTCAAGGTCAGAAAGTTGGTTCCTGGTCCAGAGGTCAGAGAGTTCCAGAGCACCCAAGCATCAAAAGGTATTTACGGGGGTCAGAGAATGAGGAATACTCAGGGGAGGCCCTAAACAAGCGAGGTTCACCTAAGACAGATGAGGAACAGGGTGCTGGGGCGTCAGATTCTGTCATTCCCAGGAGCAGTGTCGGGGGCCACCAAAATAGGCAGGGAAGCCCTCGGTCAGTCACTTGTGCTGGGGGACCTGGCTCCTCCCAGTCCTGCATCCTCTCTGACCTCCCTCCACTGAGCCACACAGCCCTGAGTACAGAGGGCAGTGTCCTAAGAACAGTTCCAGCAAACTCCCTGAGAGCGCTTTCCAACAAAACAATTTATTGTACGTAAAGAAAGCCCAACCTGGAGCGACTCCCCTCCCAACCTCCCATTCTCAACACGGCAACCCCCCAAAACACGCCCACCCACCCCCATCCTCCCAAATCTAAGGAACAACTGGGCCATCAGGACTGAAGGTGGCCTTGGTCTTTTGGAGGTGCAGGCTGCAGACAGCACGACACCTAGTGCAGGCCCACCCAAAGGCTGGCCCACAGAGGCCCCCACACCCCTACTGGCTGCGATGTTGCTTCTTGCTCTGCCCTGAGGCCAATATATTCCACTTTCTCTTACAGCTGTGAGGGTCCAGTCAGTCCCAGAGCCAGGGCTTGTCCCCCAGAGACCCCAAACTCAGGACTCAGTTTCAGCTTCTTAGTAGGGATGGGACCTCCAATGACATCTTGCTTCTTTGCCTTGGAAGGCAGATGGGCAGCTGAGCTCAGGCCTCTTCTCTGTGCAGATCGGGCCTTGGTTGCTCCCCGGGGCCTGCGACCTCCAGGACGGAGACGGCCCGAGGTGGAGGCAGGGCTCAGGGCTGGCACCCAGGGCAGCAGGCTGTGCGGGGAGGTCATGAGGAAGGCCAGGCTGGGGAGCTGTTCTTCATCCTCACTGGACCCATCTGCTGGCCAGCGCATCCCCCTAACAGGCGAGGTGCCTACACCACCTGAGGCTCCCCTGGTCCCCGGACAAGGAGGAGAGAGTCCATGTCCCTGGGGAGAAGAGGCTGGCCCAGCAGTGCTCATTGGGTGTGGCCCCACATGCCCTGGGAAGATATCAGTGTCCTTAGGCCAGAGAAGGTCAGCATCTCTTCCGTCATGTCTCTCAGGGTCCTGGGCAGCCTTCAGGGAGGTCTCCAAGCTGATCTCCTCTTGGGCGCCATGGACGTCTCTCTCTGCATCTCGGCCATTGGCAGACTTAGAAATACTGG